CGGAGCGGCGTGAGCGTGGTGCTGTCTCTAAAGAAAGAGCGCGAAGCACCAGAGTCAAGTGTGCAAGTGTGCAAGGACTCAGTAGGTGCAGTACCAGAGAGAGCAAACGCACCAGCACCTGGAGCAGCAGACGCACTAGTACCTGGAGCAGCAGACGCACTAGCACCTAGAGCAGCAGCCGCAATGCCCGGGTCGGGCGGGACACTCAGGTAACAGTCACCCTCAGCACTATCAGCAAGAGCATACATGGCAGCAAGGATAGCATCAAAGTCTAGATCAAAGATAGGCACATTCTGCAGAAGCAGATCATGCCAACGAGGAAGCTCAACGGCGTCAGGAAACTGGGTACGCCAAGCGTCAGTCAAGTGACCGAAGCAGCGCTGCGTGGTGTGTGAAAGCCCACACACCTCCCCACTACGAGTGCCGGTGCAAAGAACGGAAGTGCAGGGACCTGCACCCCCAGACCTCCCACGCCCAGCGTACCACTCACGAAGCTGCTGAACCGACGGGGTCTCACGGGTGCGCTGCTGCTGCTGGCGCTGGCAGCCACCAAAGCCTCCACGCTGTGCGGCTGCACCTCAACCAGCACCACCTCCGCCGCTGCCGCTGCCTCCACCTCCTCCGCCACCGCCGCCACGACCTCCACCGCCGCCACTGACGCCTCCACTCCCGGTACCACCCCCACCTCCACCGCCACCTCCTCCACCGCCTCCACCCCCTCCACCGCTTCCCCCGCCGCCCCCGCCACCACCCTTGCTCCCCTTGCCCTTGTTGGTGCGGCGTCTCCCACTAGGGGCAGACGCAGCGCCGACCTCCTCAGTGCCAACGAGGTCGACAGCAGAAGCAGAAGCAACAGAGGGGAGAAGGGGGACAGGGGAACACCCCTCAAAGAAGGGGGTGCGACGGTCGCCGCGAGAAGCACCTACAGCTAAGATACTCTTCTCTGCTGCAGTAAGGCGCTCCTCTAGCAGGTCGACAGTCAGTTCGGTGGGGCAAAGGGAGAGAAAGTGGTCCCTGACTGAAGAGAGGGAGTCAGGGAGGCGGGTGACTAGGTAGTAAAGGGTGATGTACATGGGGGGGGGGTTCTTGGCACAGAACTCAGTGGGAAGGGCAGCGCGGTAGCGGGCGTCACTAGCGCGAAGGTGAGCAACTAGGTCAGCGACAGTGGCAAAGGCAGCAAGGTCAGGGAAAAGGTACGGCAGCATGAGGCGGCTGAGGGCAGCAGTGGCAGGGGAGGAGTAGCGTGCAACTACAGCGTCGTACAAAGACTGAGCAGTCTTGTACTGGCCAAAGTGCGCGCGCTCAGCAGGCGGCAGGTGACTACGAACAGCAAGACGAGCAACAGCGTCACGAGTGGTCCACTGCGAGCGAACAGTTCTGTCAGCAGTGGCAGTAGGAGCAGTGGAAACACCTGACGTGTGATCGAAAAGGGATACCCCATCCCTAGAATCACACTGAAGAAAGAGCTGTAGGTCGTCAACCCATACGTCAAAATCAACTGCACGTCCCTCAGCATCAAAGGTGAGAACAGTCGGACTAGCCATAGTAGCAGTAGCAGCAGTAGTAGCAGTAGCAGCAGTAGCAGCAGTAGCAGCAGTAGCGCAAGTCAGTGCTGGGCGGCGCGGCTCGGCCGGGCGGCGCGGCTCGGCTGGGCGGCGTGGCTCGGCTGGGCGGCGCGGCTCGGCTGGGCAGCGCGGCTCGGCTGGGTGGCGCTGCTCGGCTTACCAGAAACGGGCCGGGACTGTAGGGGGCGCGCCAGGAGGGGCCGGTAGAGGCGCGCCAGCTGGGGCCGCGCCAGTAGGGGCCTGCAGGGGCTCGCGTGCAGGGGCCGGTAGGGGCGCGCCAGCAGGGGCCGCTCCAGCAGGGGCCGTTTGCAGGGGCCGGCAGAGGTGCACCAGCAGGGGCCGCGCCAGCAGCTCGTGTGCAGGGGCCGGCAGGGGCTCGGTTACAGGGGCGCGTCAGCGGGGGGGGCGCGCCAGCAGAGGGCCGGAAGGGGCCGCGAAGTGCCGCAGAGGGCCGCGAAGGGCCACGAAGGGGCCTCGAAGGGCCGCGCAAGGGGCCGCGAAGGGCCACGAAGGGGCCTCGAAGGGCCGCACAAGGGGCCGCGAAGGGCCGTGAAGGGGCCGTGAAGGGCCGCGAGGGGCCACGAAGGGCCATGAGGGGGCCGCGAAGGGCCGCGAGGGGCCGCGAAGGGCCATGAGGGGCCGCGAAGGGCCGCGAACGGGGGCCGCGAAGGGCCGCAAAGGGGGCCGCAAAGGGCCGTGACGGGGCCGCAAAGGGCCGCTAAGGGGCCGCGAAGGCTGCAAGGGGCCTCGAAGGGCCGCGAAGGGCAGGCGCACGGGGCGCTGCTAGGACAGAAGCGAAACGCGCCTCGGGCAGGTAAGGAAAAAAAACTATTGGTAGTGGTGGGCCCTAAAAAGTTCCACTAGGGAACCTGCTACCATGTGAGAATAATGAGTGGAAATGAGATGAACTAGGAAACAGGTGGGGTACAAGTAGCAAACACAAAAGTGTTGTACCCTCTAAGGACTACCCCACTACAGCCTAAACAGACTATAGCATGTATAAGTTTGACAAAAACCATCTAGATCCATTTTATAGCTAGACCTTACCTCGTTGTAGTTCATTATTTTATTTGCTCCTTTCAAATCCAACATTTCCCACCAGCTTCTCGCCACGTTTTTGCTCAAGGTTTGCTCACCCACACTCAAATTCCCTCGGAGTGTAGCATATTCTTCACATCCCACCGACAGTACGTCCCCATCGCATCACTCCCTAGACCTATTTCTCGTCGCCGTGTTGGTCCGAAATATGTTTTTTTTTCATCAATAAGGTCGTCGTTCATAGGACTACATCGGCATTGAGTTTGACACTCGCGCTACAGTTATTGGCACACTGGTGTCAGAGGTCCATTGGTGATCCCCGATTGATCCTAGGGAAGGGTTACAGGCTCGTTGTCCTGGGGGGTTATGTGCGCACTGATCTGCTACTTAACAAGCCCTTGTATCCCAATGGTCTAGTGGTTGGGATTTTGACATGGTATCAGAGCGGTCTCGGGTTCGAATCCCAGTATGTGCACTTCGGGCATACCAGTGCGGGGGGGTGTCAGAGGTCCACTGGTGATCCCCGATTGATCCTAGGGAAGGGTTACAGGCTCGTTGTCCTGGGGGGTTATGGGCGCACTGACCCGCTACTTAACAAGCCCTTGTATCCCAATGGTCTAGTGGTTGGGATTCTGAGATGGTATCAGAGCGTTCTCGGGTTCGAATCCCAGTGTATGCACTTCGGGCATCCTAGTGCGGGGGGGTGTCAAAGGTCCACTGGTGATCCCCGATTGATCCTAGGGAAGGGTTACAGGCTCGTTGTCCTGGGGGGTTATGGGTGCACTGACCCGCTACTTAACAAGCCCTTGTATCCCAATGGTCTAGTGGTTGGGATTCTGACAACTCGATCACGCGCGCTTCGAGTTGACACAAATAAGCTCCTGGTGTCAAAACTACGGACGCGATAGGGACTTTTGCCATGTTCTGCTGGTTTTTCCTGTTGTGTCACCTGCGCGTACATCTCAGGGGATTGGTCGAGCCGAGGAAAGCACTTGACCAAGTTTATTGCGCGTGCGGCGGAACAGAGGGCAAGCCTCCGTGAGAAAAGGTTCCTGGAGCTTTCACCTGAATTTCCCCATCGTGGACAGCGTACTCCGCGGCGATTCAACCACCATCTCTGCGATATGGACGGGAGTGGTGAACTATGTTTCGACTACGCTGCCCGTACGATTAAAAAATGGCCGTGTGTCATACTCCGAAGGGACACCGACGATAGTGGGGTGGTCAAGAGCTCAGCTCCACCCTCCGCTGATGTTTGCAGAATTTTTCCGGGCAAGGATTGCACATGTTGCCCTGAACATGTTTACGCAATGTCCGCACGCTATGTGGTTCCCTTTCCCGCTAGGTATCCCGCCTAATGCGTCCACCCGAATCTTGCAGCGCATTCTCCTGGCTTCCCAGAACATGCAAGTCAAGCACGATAGTCCGTTTTCTTCCATGCGACCAGCAGCTCCCTAGTTGTGCTTGCTGAGAATAAATACCACCTAACAAGTGATTGAAGTATCATCATGTTCTTTCCAACCTCATCACGCAACCAACATTCAGTTTCTGATCTCTAGAATATGCTCCGCCATGGGGCTCCACCGTGACCTCAGCTTGTCAGTTTTTCTCCTGGTCGTCACGGCATGCTTCGGTGAGAATCTGAATATGTACCAGTGCTACAGCCCATATCAGCCGTTGAATTCAAAGCAGCTACTATCTCAGCGAAAGGCTTCATTTTCCATCCGTCTTATTCAACTGTTGACCTTCGTATTGGTGATTTTGTACACTTTCATACGATTGGAATAAGTTATTCCATGTGCTTCCTTTCTTCCGCATGCTGCGCAGCGATCACGACGGCGCGCCCTGTGAAGGACAAGAATGACAAGAATGACGGGAAGGAGGGACCCTTAGATGCGGGTCCGTGCCCTCTACCCAAGCCAAAAGAGGCTGAGGCTCTCGGGAATCTGACGGGTGAGACTACCACGGGGAATCTGACAGGATCTCGAGGATCCACGCGTTTGATTAAAACACGGATTTGACGGCTCGTACGACTTTTACAAACAGAACACCATCTCTCTCCTTTTCTCGCCTCTCTACTATCCTCCTCTCCTTCCCTCCACGCTCTCACTGTCCTCTCCGCCCTTCTCCCGCACCACACACTTCGTTCCCTCCACTTCCCTCCCCTTGGCGAACACCCCCCTGCATCTCCGCGCAGCAATTCTTGCGGCGCGGCTGAACGGATCCAGCGTGGTTGGGCCACAGGGCGACGCCAACGCCACCGAGCGAGTCTGCCTTGCCGTCTTCCAGTAAGCCAACCGCCTCTGGTGCGGTCACCTAATCCCTTGTGCTGTTTTCCCCCTTCCAACTACCCGTTGAAGATATCTCAAACCATTGCTGCACATCATCTTTCCAAAAATGCCTTCACATGCCTTCACATGCCTGACCAATGCACATTCCATTCCTCCCTTCCACTCGTTTGTGCGAACCCTGACGGAAACCGTCAGGCTAGACGACGACTACAACGTCTTCTACAGTGTCATCACCTCCACCTCCGACGAAGCCGAGCCGTTCGGCGCGACGATCTATCAAGGCGCAGCAGGAGAGGCGGGAACCGCCGTTCATAATACTGTCGTGGCAGGAGAAACAGCCACGTGGGCGAATCTTACCCGTCCACCGCCTCCCCCGCCCAAGGGCAAGAAGAACAAGGGCACACCGCCCCCTCCACCGCCTCCGAAGTACACTTATGGCACTAACGCAACATGGCTTAAAGCGAGCACAGTGTCCACGATCGGCGGGCATACTTTAAAGGAACTGGTGGATGCGATTATAGCGAAGCCGGATGCGTACTACGTGACATTCGGGACAACCGATTATGAGTCGGGTGCAGCGCGGGGGCAGTTTCAGTCGGACCCGCTTCCGCCGCCGCCTAAGGACAAGAAGGACAGAAAGGATGGAGGGAAAAATGGTGGTGGGAAGAATGGTGGGAAGAATGGTGGTGGGAAGGATGGTGGGAAGAATGGTGGGGGCAAGAATGGAGGCGATAAGTTCGGCACTTTTGCCGGTAAGCCTATACTACAGGAAGACGTCTCTGGCACTCTTGCCTCGCCCACTCTTGCCTACCCTACCACGACTCTTGCCGCTAGGAAACATCCACCCACCGTGCCCCCTCCGGTTCTCCCGGTGCGGTGGCAGTGCGTCTCAATGGCTCCAAATTAGATTTCTCTGCATTTTATATTTTCCGTGATTCTGCCATTTCGTGCAGGTGCGGCCGCAGCGCGTGTCAACGGCTCTAATGCTGACCTCAGCGGTGATGTCAACGCCACGGGCTTCATTGACCTCGTCGCCTTTTTGTAAGCTTCTCCTTCTCTCTTCTCTCTACTCACGTCTCATTTTCCTCAGTTCCTCAATTCACTTCTCCCCTCAGTTCACCCGTCATTCTCTCAACCTCCCCTCACCATCTTCCTGTAAGCTATCCCATCATTTCCATCCGTCCCACAGCCTTAGTTCAATTCACTTCTCCCCTCAGTTCACCCCTTACTCTCTCAACCTCCCCCTACTACTTTTGGCGTCATGTTTTATTGCCTTCCTGTTGCTTCTTGTTTTTAGCTTTGCCCAGAGTTAATCCACTTGTCCTATGGCCAACACCAGCCCCTCCGTGCCCCTTATCGCCCCTCTCTGGCCCTCCTTGCCACTCGCCCCTTAGAAATGCCACCACTAACGACTAAGACACTGCTTACCACGTCCCATAGCCAAACACCCGCCCCTCCTTGCCCCTCCCTGCCCCTCTTTGCCACCCACCACCCCCTCCTAAACGACCCCTTGCCCCTCCCTGCCCCGCCTTGCCCCTCCCTACCCCGCCTTGCCCCTCCCTGCCCGTCCTTGCCCCTGCTTACCACGTACCACCGCAGCAACGTCACAGCTACCAATTACGGCATTGCCTACCACATCCCATGGCCAAACACCCGCCCGTCCCTGCCCCTCTTTGACACCCACCCTTCCCCCCCCCCCCCCCCCCCCCCGCAGCAACGCCACGACCAACGACTACGACATTTAATACCATGTGCGTGTGAGTCTGAAAGACTCTGGCGAGCCCATTGGTGTCGTCATTAAGAATGGTGCTGACGTGGCACTAACCGTGCTCACCAACGACGCCACGTGGATCCCATGAGATGCTCCCGAAACTAATGCCGCTAATGCTCCCACGAGCCCATGTCTTGATCAAATTCTGTTTCGAGAAGCCCCGCCCCGCATTCTACAGTGCTCAACGGGAGCACTGCCACAGCCTACCACAGTCGCATGATGTTTGGACATGAGTTATGCCAGTTGTCGTCTCGTAGTGTGTTGCTGAGGGGTCCAGAAATAGCCTAGTACCCTCAAGATCCTCCAGGTCCCTCATGTGCTGTGGCGCCCCAAACTGGTGAGCTGGTGTTCACCTCCTCCCTTGAGTACTTCACCGCCAGCTTGTAGCAGGTGCACACGAGGGACCTCGAGGATTTTGAGTTGTAGCCATGCGGCGGCCGGGTCGTAGCAGGCCGTGATCTCCTTGCGTACTTCACGTCATCACATGTGGGGAGGTGTAGGGTGTTTTTGAGTCGACTCAAAAATACTTCCCGTCATCACATGTGGGGAGGTGTAGGGTGTTTTTGAGTCGACTCAAAAATACTTCCCGTCATCACATGTGGGGAGGTGTAGGGTGTTTTTGAGTCGACTAAAAAATACTTCCCGTCATCACATGTGGGGAGGTGTAGGGTGTTTTTGAGTCGACTCAAAAATACTTCCCGTCATCACATGTGGGGAGGTGTAGGGTGTTTTTGAGTCGACTCAAAAATACTTCCCGTCATCACATGTGGGGAGGTGTAGGGTGTTTTTGAGTCGACTCAAAAACACTTCCCGTCATCACATGTGGGGAGGTGTAGGGTGTTTTTGAGTCGACTCAAAAATACTTCACGTCATCACATGTGGGGAGGTGTAGGGTGTTGGGGAGGTTGGAGGTGAGGGAGGAGTGCAGGCAGACATGTCATCACACGCCCTTCTGATACGCAGCTGCCCATGCTCATTGTAGCCTGAGAGGGTGCAGGGAAAAGGGGGGGGAATTGGGGGTGAGGGAAGATTGGTGATATCCCATCACGCAGGAAGGGGTGGAAGGACGCCAGCAGGTGCGGCTTCTGCGAATTATCTGCCTTCATAGGGAGCCCCTGCAAGCACCTTCACGCTTGAACATGGCTTAAAGCGAGTACGCTGTCCACGATCGGCGGGCAGACATTGAAGGAGCTGGTGGATTCGATTACAGCGAATACGGATGGTTACTACGCGACATTCGCGACCACTGATTTTGAGTCGGGTGCGGCGCAGGGACACTTTAAGTCGGACCCGCTTCCACTGCCGCCTAAAGGCAAGAAGGGCGGGAAGGATGGTGGGAAGAAGGGCGGGGAAAAAGGCGGGAAAGATGGTGGGAAAAAATGCGGGAACGATGGTGGGAAGAATGGAGGCGATCCGCTCGGCGCTCCTATCAGTAAGCGCAAAAAAGGAAGAAGCCTACGTTCTCTCCCCTTCTAGCCTTCTCTGCCTCTCTTGGCTCGGCCACTCTTGCCTCCCCCACTCTTGCCTCCCCCACTCTTACCTCCACCATTTATTTTTGCTTGGGAATCAACCACCCACCATGGCCCCTCCCGTTCTCACCGTGCGGTGGCAGCGCGTCTCAACGGCTCCAACTCCTTTTTTGAGGCATTTTCACTTTTCACGAGCATTCTTTTCTTCCCGTGGTTACGCTATTTCGTAAAGCTGTGTTACAAGCGCATCTCATCGGCTCCAATGCTAACCTCAGCGGTGACGTTAACACTACAGGCCTCATTTCCCTCTCTGTCTTTCAGTAAGCTTCACCTTCTCGTCTCGCTTATCACTTCTCATTTCCCCCAATTCGCCCCTCACTTTTTTAATCTCTCCTCACAGTATTCCTGTACCTTGCCCCATCACAACCTTGTTTCAACTCTCTTCTCCTTCTGTACCCACTGGCCAAACACCCGCCCCTCCCTGGCCCGCCCTGCTCCTCCTTTCCCCTCCTTGCCACCTCCTTGCCACCTCCTTAGAAATGCCACAACTACCGGCTACGACAGTACTTACTATGTGTGCGTGAGTCCCCGTCCTGACCCGCTTGTCCCGTGGCCAAACACCCTCCCCTTCCTACCCCTCTCTCCCCCTTAGAAACGCCACAACCAAGGACTACGATATTACTTACTACGTCTGCGTGAATCTAACCGACTCTGGAGAGCCCACCAGCGTCGTCATCAAGAAAGGTGCTGACGTGGCACTCACCGTGGCCACCAGCGACGCCACGTGGATCAATAGTACGCTTTCAGATTTCGAGCTCGCCGAGTTGGGCGGCAAACAAAATCCCAAGGGTAACAGGGGCAAGCAGTCGCCTCCCCTGCCCTCCTTTCCGCTTGGCTACAACTACAAACTTCTCGGCACTTGGCTAAGCGCCAGTACTTTGACGGCGGATAACGGGCAGACGTACAAGGAGCTGGCGGACGCCATGCTGGCTGCTCCTGACGCTTCTTACTCTACTCTCGTCTACAGTAAGACCTACGAGGCCGGTGCAGCCAACGGTGGTTTCCTCGTATTCCCCACGGGTGGTCGTGAAGGGTCCAGCAAATTGGCCATTAAAGCCAGCCTATTGGATGTAGAAGTGAACTTGTACCCTAGCGAGTTGGCCATCAAAGGCAGAAACGGACTTGCCTGAGAGCCCATGGGGCTAGGATTGAGCCTGAAAAGGGGTACTCTTACCCTAGCCAGCTGGCCATCAAGACCTGACTCAAGCTCGGACAAGCTCAGACACATACACCTACACCCCATCCAGTACCACCAGATGGGGTTCCTCTACGTGATGGTCCCTCATAGCTGATGGGAGGAAGGGTATTTCAGCTGAAAACCGGGTATGGTGTCTCTGCGGCTTTTGTACTTGTAGACATACCGTAGAAGATGGGGTCGGCTTGTTGCCTTGTTGCCTTATATAGTGCTTTTCCAACGAATTAGCTCACAAGCAACCCCTCCTCTCGTGGCTTCACATCCAGCCTGCAAATTGTTTGCCTTTCTAGCACAAAATTCTCCCACCAGCACCTTTTAGTTCCCCACCAGCACTTAATCTCCCAGCAACACATAGAAGACTTCTGTACTTAAATGCCGTTAGACTCGGCTTTGAGAACACCAAACATCACTACTACCTCGCTACAGCTGTGCACCAACAAATGTGAATGTATTTCCCAAGTCACGCTAGACAGGAAACCTAATGAAAAGCCCAATACTATGGCTCGGTGCACCCTCACGCATGTGTTTCACAGTACCCATACCCATGTGTTTCACTGCATCCACACCCATGTGTTTCACAGCACCCACACCCATGTGTTTCACAGCACCCACACCCATGTGTTTCACAGCACCCACAGGGGTGCTGGAGTTGGAGCTGAGCCCGTGGTTGCAGGAGACTCTTGTCTTCCGGGAGCTGGTGCTGGTCCTGCTGACTTTGGGGGTGCTACGTCTGGGGGTGCGGGTGCACCCTCTTCGGGTCCTGGTGAGCCTGGTCGTGTTGCTGTTGGTGGTGCTGACTCTGGGGGTGGTGCGCCAGGTGCTTTGGAGGGCGGTCCCGGGGCTGCCGCAGCCCCCGACACTACTCCTCCCCCCCACCCCTACCCGACCCGGCACCAGGCTCGTGTTCGCCGTGCCCGTGAGGAGCAGCTGGAGTTGGAGAGAGAGGAGAGAGAGTTGCAGCGCCTGGAGGAGCAGCAGCAGCAGCAGCAGCAGGAGCAGCTGCAGCAGCCACGGCTGGAGCCGCCGCAGCAGCAGGAGGCGCAGGAGCTGGAGCCGCTACAGCAGCAGGAGGAGCAGCAGCAGCCGCCGCAGCAGCAGCAGCGGCCGCCGCCTCCTCCTCCTGTCTCCGGTCTTCGGGCCCTCGGTCTCCCCTCCCGCTCTCCTTCCTCCTCCCCCTCTCCTCCCGTCTCGGGTCCTCCGCTTCCTCCTCCTGACCCCTCTCCAGCTGTTTTCCCTTGTTCTCAGTCTTCGTTGTCCCCTCCTCCTTCTCAGACCTGGGCCTCTTGTCGCTCCCCTCGTGCTCATCCCTCGTCCCCTGTTCCCTTCACTAACCTTCGTACTGCCTTACTTAGTTCTAGTCCGCCTCGTCCGTCTCCGTCTGTGCTTCTGTCTCCTCCTGAGTCGGCCCTCACTGCTTCGCTTTCTACTCCTGTCACTGACTACTACCGCACGTACCGTCTTGTTCTCTCTCGTGTTCTCGCCTCTCTTGTTACCCACCCTCGTGCCTCTGTGTCCTCTGTCTCCGCTCTTACTGCCGCAGTCACTGAGTTTGCCTCTACTCGCCGCCTTGACTTCGCCACCAGTCTTGTGGCTGCTCCTCCTTCCAGTCCTCTGGCCGTCGGGGGTGAGTATGCCCTTGGCTGTGACGCCCTAGAGGACAGGCAGTTTGAGCTAGAGTTCCTGGCAGCCGCTTCCCCTCATCTCTGTGCCATGGTGCTCGCCCCTGAGGGAGACCCCGACGCCCTTGACATACCGACTCCTCGCACTTACGCTGAGGCAGTGTCAGGGCCTTGGGCCTCTCAGTGGAGAGCTGCCATGGACGCAAAGATGGCCTCCTACAGATCCACAGGCACCTACGTCGACGAGGTTCCCCCCCCTGGGGCGAACGTAGTCGATGGCATGTGGATCTACAGGGTGAAGCGGCCACCGGGATCTCCTCCGGTCTTCAAGGCGCGCTACGTGGCTAGAGGTTTCAGTCAGCGCGAGGGAGTTGACTTCTTTCAGACCTTCGTGCCCACCCCGAAGATGACCACTCTTCGGGTGTTACTGCACGTAGCGGCACAGAGAGACTACGAGTTACACTCTCTCGACTTCTCGGCTGCTGCGGCTGGTGAAGCAGCAGCAGCAGCACCAGCAGCCACGACTGGAGAGCAGAGTGAAGCATATTCACGTCAGGTACTTCCTTCTGCGAGAGTTGCAGAGACGTGGACAGGCTCGCTTTGAGTTTGTGGAGTCCGAGGCCAACACTGC